CAAATCAGGGGAAATAAATAACGTAGTGCAGCTCACACTGCCCGGCAAAAAAGAGTCGCAGAAATGTTTTGGTCGCAGGCAGCAATCTTCTATATGTGCTAGCAGTGAGTAACCTTTTTTTTTGCTTTCGAATTTTTTTTCCAGTGACTTTGGCGGGTTGTTTGTTCGCTCGCTTGACGAAGCAGTTTAAAAGTGCATTAAAGTACTTGTTGACGTAGGTGTCCTTAGGTTGACGTAGGAAGCAAAGAAAGATTTTCCACCACATCGCACAAACTTGTTCTTGCAATGGTAGGCAGCACATAGCATGCCTGCCATCTCTAATTATGCTCTGGTGTATGCTCGAATGCGGCCGGTTGATCAACAAACGATGACCCTTAGCAGACGTTCCTGCCGGAGTACACAAATAAAATTCGAATAAAAATGTATAACGAGCTTACACTTCTTAATATATTTCATAAATATCAAAAAGCACGTGTGACGATTTTGGATTAGAAACTCAATCGAAGGCGAAAATAAGAGGTTATCGCAGACGACAGTGGAAGAAAACAACAACAACAACAAAGTTGCAGACGGCCCTGAAAATGCCCGGGCCTAGCGCAGACGAACCGGGGGTAGTAAGCGCCGAAGCGAAGGAAAGGGAGTAAATACTAAGCCAAACAAAGCAAGGATACGCGATTGTTTACACGTCGGGCAAAAAAAGAAAAAAAAGAAGAAAAAAATATACACAGCAACATATAAGCAGGAGGAGGAAATAACGCGGCAGAGTGGCGTCGCCTCAAAAATATAAAAGAAAGAAGACTCAAAAATGAAAAGAGTGGAGACGGTTCAACGGGTGTCGGCCTTTATCGTAGAAGTAAAGAAGCAGCGAAGCAGAAGATGTCGGTCGTCCCCGCGCTAACAATCGGAATTTGCGCACTGTAAATAACGTGACTGAAATCACCTTTTTTCGCGGGGCTACGACGCTCTCCCCTTCTTTCTTTGCAAGCGCGAGAAGTCAGCTTTTTTCGTAACTCCGCTTTTGTTAATCTATAATCGCGTCAGATTTGCATATGCACAACGACTTCTTTCGGAGCATACTGACATCGCCGTAACGTACGTGGTTCGAAATTGACTTCTGTTTCTTCATCCGGAGACGATCTTAACGGGATTAGCCAGCTCGCCTGTTCGACGAAACGGTTATAAGCAAGACATTCATGAGAAATGGAATTGCAACGACAAAACGAATTGACTGATAAGAACAATAAAGTTGAAACGAAGCTATGTTCTGAAATGTTTGTACATTTCCCTTTTTCACGAAACAGCGCGAAGGCATACATTCGTGTTTTGCTTGGCTTACATAAGTTGTGACAGAATGTTTTTTTCGGGAGAACTCCGAAATTGCTCCCAGAAAGCTGTAACATCTTTCCCACGCGAAGAGAATGTCCTTCACTCATGAGCTGGCACCCATTTTTTAACTTTCAAAGCGGCGAATGTCCGTGACAATTTTTTTTCGTTGGTCACCTCGCACGGAGATAGGAAAAACCAATGCATTTTGGAGAATTTGTCTGCTAGCGGAGACTCCGAGCTCGCCAGGGGCGCTGCAATCACTTTTCGCCCGTTTTTCGCGGGAGTTGCCAGTATTGGCTTCCACGGTATTTGGTAATAGTGCCAAGCTCATCGTTGAACAGTGGCTGGTACTTCGAGAGTAAAACTACGAGCCTTTCTTTTACGTGGCTAGGAGCAAAAGGGTCTGACCTTGAGAGATGGTTCAGGTGCCAAATCTTATTCCACTCCAGTCGAATGACCCGTAGCCACTGCCGGCCCAGCAGCGGTGGCCCCTCTCCGTCGACTACGTACTGAGGCAGACGCTTAGAGTGTTCACCGTGCTGCACATTGACTGTCGAGACGCCCAAGGGTTGGACCTGCGCTCCGGTGTAGGTGCGCAGTTTGACAGTCGTCGGCTTCAGGTCGTCCGGGTAGAAGAGTCGGCGATACTGCTTGCAGGGCATCACAGAAACCGCAGCAAAGTATCCAGTTCCACATTCACCAGTGCACCTTTGATGGCCATTTTTACCGTGACGGGCTCGTGGCTGGATGAAGACACGCCGTTCAAGTTGACGACTCTTTCTTCCTCTGGGGCAACATCCAGCGTCTGCACATCTCTATGGCTGCCGTTCTTTTGTGGAAAGTACCAGCTCCACTATGACAGACTCTCTGAATGTGGCCTTTCTTGTGGCACTTGTAACAGGTGTTCGACAGGTGGGGACATGCTTGGCTCGAATGCTTGGTTGAGCCGCAGAGAAAACAGTCCCCCTGCTTTTTGTCAGATACTGCCTGTACCTTGTGAACATCAGTGACCAAGGCCCCTCCTGTACGAGTCTCTGCGGCGCTTTCCTTTGCAGCTTCCAAGGCAAGGGTGCGTTCAACCGCCTTCAGGAATGTTAGCTTGCTGTCCTCTGTAAAGAGCACCCATCGAATGTCTTCTCTTAACAGTCCACACACGAAGCGGTCCCTAAGAGACTCGTCCAACGCGTGTCCAAATTCGCACGTCTTCTGAAGCTCGACGACGTATTCCGATATGAACTCCTCTTCCCGCTGCGCCCTCCGCTGAAACTTTGCATGCTCATCGATGACAGGCGGTTTCGGCGACAAGTGGTCGCTCAGGACCTTCTTCAGGGCCCCGAAGCTCTTCGTTGAGCGCGGCTCCGGGGACGTCAAAGACTTAAAAAATCCATATGTTTTTGGACCGGTGATGCTTAGGAAAGCGTGGTCTTTGTCGCCGTCTGGTACTCGGTTCAAGGTATATGCGCATGGGTAGCGAAGCTTCGGGCAAAAAGCGGTTCAAAACAAATCGCCAGCGACATCGGCCTGGAGGGTCACGTGAAGGATGCGATTGAAGCGCGACTAGGAGAGGTGGGGACAAACATTATTAAAATTTATTAGTTTGTGACTAGAAGTATAATCATTTGTATTTTTATACAAGCTAAATATAAATATTAGATATTATCAATCATATTTGGCGCGCTACGAAATTCAAAACTGTCTTTGTTTTTGCTATTATTATGCGTACTTCTTATTAGCGTCCTCTGTGCGCCACTATCAAAAAGGCCGGCAAGCAATAGCGATATTTGCAGTTCTTTGTAGACCTCGTGGCGCGCGAAAAGGCAGGCTGCTGACGTCCGTCTGCTTGCTTGTGTTTGGGCCTCCACGTGCTCTACGCTTTTAATTGTTTTAGCGGCAGCTAACTCCGTTTGGGTAGTTTTCTTTTTTGCTCGGGCGTGATTAGCCCAGTTACTTGCGAGGGAACTCGGCAGTCGTGCGCTTGGACCTTGGACGCTACTGCGTCCAAGGGGCTCAACGTCCTTTCCGACGATGAGCACAGCGCGATACGCAAAGAAACGGTGCTCCGTGGAAGTGTGTGAAAGCGACACCCGCACGGCTGGCGTCTCGCTGCACCGGTTTCCCCTCGACTCTCGAAGGTGAGATTTCGCTACTGTCAGTAACATGCCTGCTGTGTGATGTCATGCCCCCTTGTTCGGTCTTCTCTCAACTCTAGGTAGTTTTACCTAAAACTATTAGGGTTGTCTGGATGTGCACAAGAAACTACACCTGAAGCCCTAATATGTTATACTAGGAATGTTTCAACGTCAAAATCACCCTGACTTCACTGCGTTGTGTGCTGTCATTATAAAAGTGCCCACGATAATCAAATTTACCTTACCGGCCTGGGTCTGAGGAGCCTAATGTCGTGATCATAGGCGTGGTTATCAGTGGTACAGCACAGATATATAGTAGGCCATCTGTGCATAAGACTCGCATTTTTACTCTTCATAATGTATACAGAGCGTTGATGTCATGCATTTGTTAATGTCCTTGCTCTGATTTGCTTTGGTTTGTGGGAATTTTGGCTACATTTCTTTTTCCTAAGTATTCACGGCACCCACATAGCACCATGCCTTATCTGCAGGCGCGAAGTCTGGGTTCGGTTTTGCAACAACCGATGTCTACAGGGGAAGACTCCATGGCAGCTACGAGACAGGGTAGTTTGCTCATTACATTTCGAGGAGTCGGCTTTCTTGCGGCCTGGACACCTCCGTCACAATGCGTTGCCAAGTGTTCTTCCCACAAAAGGTAAGCAGACCAATAAACTTTCCGTGCATATTTAAAAATAGCGCAAGGACGACGGAGGGAAGAACGAGAGACAGGAAAGAGCGCTAACTGGCAACTTTGTGACTACGCATGGTTAACCTGCTCTTAGAGAAATAGTAAAATATTTCAGCCACATGGAGCTGAAATATTTCTTCTGTGGGCTCATAACACTTTTATATTATTTGCAGAGACGACGCGTGGGGACATTTCAAGCAAAAGCTCTCCTGGTTCAGCAGTTGTGCATGGTGAGCTTTTTCACTGTAACTAACATAAAGTAGCAGCAACTGCCAGCACTACTGGGGGGCTATGTTGCGCTCTTTGCACTCCCAGGAGAGTAGGGAGAGGGAAGTGACGTCAAAGACACAGCAAACGCAGATTGGGTGTTGATTTCGTTTTCTTCTGTCAACACCCAATCTGCGTTTGCTGTGTCGTTGACGTCACTTCCCTCTTCCAAGTCTCCTGGGAGTGCAAAAAGCGCAACATAGCACCCCAGCATTACCTCGTGGTCTTCATGACCTGAGCATTTTGCAATAAGACTAGGTGAAATTAGCTGGAAACAGCTGGTAGAACATGGTCAGAGGTACTGCTAGAAGTTCATTTCAGGCCCGTTAATAATGACATGTTTTATTTGAGGTGATATAATCAACGTCAATATCGGTCCACAGAGCATCTTTTACCATGCCGCCACCCAGTCTTCCAAAATAAAGCTGCCCATGAAAGAAAGTGATTTTCATTTTGTAGTAAAATAGGTGAATTTACCATAAATTTGCAGAGCTAAGTTCACTACTCTCATCGAGCTGCACATACTTCGGCAGTTCAGAGTCACGGAGCTTCTCAAGTCACCTTGACGACCATTCTTCCGAAATGGAGCTTTCGTGGGAACAAGGTAATTTTCCTTCCGTGTGTTAGAATAGACGCATAGGAAGGAACTCAACTACTATTCCATGACTAACTTCACGTTAAATTTGCGGAGAGCATTTCGCCAGCCCCATCGAGCTGCACGTACTCGGGCCGCTCAGAGTCGCGGAGTTCCTGTGGTCACCCTGACGACCAGTCTTCTGAGGTGGAACTTTCGTGGGAACAAGGTGATTTTTCTTGTCGTGTGTTAGAATAGACACATAGGAAGGAATTCAACTACTATTCCATGACTAACTTCACGCTAAATTTGCAGAGAGCAGTTCGCCAGCCTCATCGAGCTGCATGTACTCGGGGCGCTCAGACTCGCGGAGTTCCTGTGGTCACCCTGACGACCAGTCTTCTGAGGTGGAACTTTCGTGGGAACAAGGTGATTTTCCTTGTCATGTGTTAGAGTAGACACATAGGAAGGAACTAAACTACTATTCCATGACTAACTTCACGCTAATTTTGCAGAGAGCAGTTCGCCAGCCCCATCGAGCTGCACATACTCCGGCCGCTCAGACTGGGGGAGTTTCTGCGGTAACCCTGACAACCAGTCTTCTGAAATAAACCTGTCATGGAACGCAGGTGAATTTCCTTTTTATGCGTTCAAATAGGGGAATAAGGGAGGACTTCCTCTTCTCCTTCGCTAAATTCACATTAAATTTGCACAGCGGATGTCTGCGGCTCCGTTGGACCACACATACTCGTGCACCGTACTAAAGAATAGTCCTCTAGGGGCCCATAGTAAGTGGTGGCCGAATATTGTTTGTGCTATCTTTTTAGTCCCATTCTTTTTTGTGAGCTTGCTTTCTTAGTTGGTAAAAAGAGCGCAGAAGGACAAGAAACAAGGAGTATACAGACAGGCGCTGTAAAAGTACACAGAGAGGCACTGTTTCTGCCAGCTAAGATGAACAACCAACTCGCTCAACTTTCCGCTCTCTTGAACTTGCTTTCTTACAATACTGTTTTTGTAAAAGCCTTTATTTATTTCATTTTGTTTGCAGTTGATCACAGCTACGCTCTACCTCAAGATGCTGCTCCTGCTCAAGAGTCCAGCGGGGACGTGGCTGACTTGAAGAGTTTGGTTTCTTCACCGTCGTCTAGAAACTCTCTCTCTCTGGCTGTGCTGCTGGGCCTTCTCACAAATGTGAGTTCTTTCTATGATGCGAACTTTTTTCTTTGCAGGTTTTTTTTTTTCTTAAATTATTAAAGGTAAGACCGCAAAAATAAAAAAGCCAAGGCTCGAAAAACGCCAGCGGATACTAAACTTTATCTTGACAGCTGATGGCGCAAGGGGTCACATAACACAAGACCGGGTAGCCGGCAGCTACAAATCGAAGTTTGTTCAAAGTTTACCGTATTTTTGTGTTTCATGGTATTGTCATCGTCAAGCACACAAAAAGACAAAAAATGTTCCTCACGCAGGTGTTAACACTATCGGATCAAAAGAGCTCAACCGGTTTCACTGAATCATAAGTCTTCCCGCAAAACCTCACGTAAGACAGTGTTTTTATAGTTATCGAAAAGCTGCCCTGGTCACATGTGTGTGATGCTGAGCCTGTCATGGTCCATTGTCCTATCTGACAAACCTTAGTTGCCCTTTTTTTTGCGAGCGCTTCACTGTTACGTATGCCATGGGCCTAAGTAAGGTATGGTCAAGCTTTAAGAAAATGCATTTCACAGTTTGGATGCTTATTCTGACTTGCATGCTTCTGTGTGCGCCCTTGTCTTTTTGGGCTATCAGGTCTCTGGCCAGCGTGAAGCGCCTAGACCGACATAAAGATGTGCTGCTATCCTTAACTTGAATTGCATATGTGTAGTCTGTCATACTTGATGTTCTTGTTTAAAAACACTTTAAATCGTTGAGGAGTATTCTTGAGTGTGAATGGATTACACACTTAATAAATTCGTGGCGAATGCAAGTTTTTCTTGGAGACCTGATCTGGGTCATTTGTCAAATTGCAGCACCTGGCAAAAGCCGCAGCATCGACAAGAAGAAGATGAACGCCATGAGAGCCAAGGTGCGACAGCTTCAAGAGCGCAACAAGAGGCTCCAAAGAAGGCTGCAACGACAACGTCAGATGAGGACTGTGGCCGAAGTCGTTGAGAGTGTCCGCGCTCATGTGTCTCCTGCCGTCGCTGTACTCGTTGAAGCCCAGCTTAAAATGAGCAATGTGAGCCGGTTTGGCCGGAGATGGTGCAGCCACAACAAAGCCTTGGCTTTAGGCCTCTACTTTCATAGCCCCAAAGGCTATAGGTATTGCAGGCGACTGCTCAGGCTGCCATCAGTTAGGTCACTGCAGCTATGGCTTCAGCGTGTGCCACTGAGGGTTGGATTTTACCCTGATATTTTTGAGCTCATAAAGAGGCGGGCAGCTTCTTTTTCTCGAGCCGATCGGGCCTGCAGCATAGTGTTTGATGAAATGCACATAAAAAAAGAGCTTTCATACAACCCCTCGTCTGACAGGTTTGAAGGACTTGAAGAACATAGTGGACAGCAAGGCAAAAAGCTGGCAAACAAGGCTCTCATGTTCATGGCAAAAGGAGTCGGAACACCGTGGAAGCAGCCACTTGGCTATTTTTTTGCTCACAAAGGCACACCTTCAGATGTCCTAAAAGATCTCCTTTTCCAGTGCTACAGCGCCCTTGTGGACGCTGGCCTGGAGCCGGTAGCTGTTGTATGCGATCAAGGGAGCCAGAACGTGTCTCTTTTTTCAAGCATTGTAACTACCGAAAAGCCTTACGTAGAGATCAATGGCAAGCCACTTTTTTTCCTTTTCGATGCTCCGCACCTTTTGAAGTGCCTTAGAAACATGTTGTTCAACTACGACTTCAAAGTTGGTGATTACCTAGTGAAAAGTTCCTACATCAAGGAAGCTTATGAAAAGGACCATAAACTTGAGATCCGGTCTATGCCGAAGCTGAACGATAAGCATTTTAATTTGACGTTCTCGTCAAAGATGTCGGTGAAGCTAGCAGCTCAAGTTTTCAGCAATCACTGCGCAGCTGCAATGTATGCCCTTGTTACTTTTCAGCAATTGCCAGCCACAGCTGTTCACACAGCGAGATTTGTTGAAAGAATTGACCGTCTCTTTGACAGCCTAAATAGCTCTCAGAAATTTGCAAAGACGCCATATGCCTCTGCAATGTGTAACGGCTCTATTCATGAGGCGTTTCTGGAAGAGTGCATTCTGGTGTTTAAAAGCCTGCAAGTACTCGGGTGTAGAAGGCAGCCGCACTGAATTCGTGGCTTCTGCTTGACAGTTAGGTCACTGCTGCTGCTCAGCAATCACCTCAGGGTTAATTACGGTTTTTCCTACCTTTTAACCCGCCATTTGAACCAAGACGCCCTTGAAAACACTTTTGCTGTTATACGTTCAAAATCCGGTGCAAACACGAACTCCACTTCCCGTCAATTTCAGGCTGCGTTCAGGCACCTTTTGATTAGCAACCTATTCAAACTCTCGGAAAAATCAAACTGTGCTGACGACATGATGTCTCTCCTTGCTACGTTCCCAGCAGGCATTTTGGCACCTTCTTCTCCTCTTGCCTTAGGGAGCGCAGTTTTTCTTGACACGGCAGACGATTCGCCTTCAAACTACCCTTCGGCAATAGAAGAGAACAACATGGTTTATTTTTCTGGGTGGCTGGCATCGAAATTCCTCAAGGTTCATTCCTGTGTGGGAACATCTGAGAAATGTGAGCTGAGGACAGAAAATGCGTGTTTTTCTGAAGGAAATCAAGTGCTCTTGTATTTAAGTGTGAAAGGCACTGCCGACTCCGACTTTGGAAACCTCTCAGTCCCTTCTGCTTCTTTCCAATTATTTGTTGCAGCTTGTGAGGAAGTCTTCGAGACAAGTATCAGCAACCTAATTTCAAAAGAGAGCGTAGGGCGTACTCTGTGTGTCCTTTTTCACCAGAAGGTTCCAAAGTCTCTGACTGTATGCAACGAAAGTGTTTATGATGATTTGTTTTCTCTAATTGCCAGAGTCAGGCTCCACTGGTTCGCGCGGAAAAAAAATGTTGAACTATTTGATACAGCAGCAGCAAAGTGTAAAGCGAGGCAGCAAGTGCACAGGCTAGGTACGTGAGACCACCCAGGCTATATTTAAAGCAGTGTAGGCATGTTCTATATGTAATTTCATTTTCTTCAGGTTTTCAGGAGAAATGTAGTCTTCTAACTGATTCACATATATAGCGCTTAAATCTGTGAAGCTACACTGGCTTGTGAAGTGCAGCATACCACAGGGCTCCAAGATGGTTTACTCCACTTGGCTTCCGTGACCTGCACCGAACAATCGTTCCGTTGCAGTGTAGCAGCACCAGCAGATGCAAGTTGAAATATTTTCAGCATTATGGTACCTTGCCCAAGAGCCACGTAGACAAGTGAAGTTTTTTTTTCTGTGTATTACAGTGGGGATTGCAGTTGTCCTCGGAACACCGTGAAACCTCTGAGTTATTAGTGGCTGCCTATGAACTGTCAATGTCCTCACAACATCCAACCGATTGTACATTGTCTTATTATATTATAATGTGCCTTATGTACCGATGTACTAGTTTTCTTGCACTGTGACACTTCCAAAATAGTGGATACCGATTGTATGATTCTAGTGAGTGGTCTGATTGAATGTTTGTAAGTGAATAAAACAAATAAAGCGCGACTGTTAATAGAACGTTGCACTTGCATTAGAGTTACTGTTGTGTATTTCATATGCCCAACACACTCCAGCGATTTGATTCACTCTTTTTTCTGTGACATTACGCCATTCGCTTTAAGGTTTCTCACATATTCCCGAGGGATCCTGAAGGAACACAGGGCAAAACACTGCGGCTCGAGTTCAACCACAGAGCAAAGACACGTGTGACTAAATGAAACTACTCTCAGGTCGGCTAACAAAGCCGGCTGCAGAAAAAAACGTTTCGAACAAAATATAAGAGCAAGGGCAAAGAAGGGCGTAAACGATCGAGTATAAACACAAGATGTAAACATCCCAAGAAAAACCGAGACTGCAGGTAAAAAGAACGACATGCACACTAAAAAGTATCAAACAAAGCTGAAACACGGAGCTATGTTTGAGACTTTTTAGTGTTTATGTCGTTCATTTTACCTGTAGTCTCTGGAAGTGTTCCCGCGACTCATAGATGGCGCTAAAACAGCCCCATGGGCCGCCATTTTTTCGACATGTGGGCTTCTATGGAAGCTTCGCTACCCATGTACATATACCTTGCTCGGTTGACGATCAAGAATGACGTAACCTTTCTTCATACGAAGCCCAGTCGCTGGCGGATTCGTCGAACTGCTCTATCTGGCCCATTCGTCCGGCGACACAGGTCACCGCCGCTTCGGCTCCGTTCTTGACGGCAGTCACTGCAGCGTCAGCACTCTTCAAAAGCTGATTATGAACAAAGGCTGAATGCGGGAGCACTTACCTTCCAGACCGACGCAAGGCGTCTCCTTGCATATCATCCTGGTCGCCAGTGTTGTATGTTGGCATCGGCAGA